GTAGTTCTGAAATGAGCATGATGTAAAGGAGGGAGGTAGTGCTACTCGTGAAGCTGCTTCCACTTACCAAGCAGCTCTTCATGAAGCTGAGCAGTGACTCCACGTTCAATGGTGAAAAGTCATCCAAAATATAACAAATAGCGACCGCACAAAACACGAACCTCATGTCATTCTCGCTTCCCATTGGATTGGCCTGAAAACTGAACGCCAAACGTCGCAACATGAGCGAGTCAAATCACGACGCTTACCTACCGTCCATGAGCTGACATTTTTGCACGTTCCTCAATATGCTGCGGTGGTTAAGGCGCCCAAAATCGTCTCCTAAGATTGCCAAGCTCACCAATGCACTGTAAGTCATCACCAGGTGGCTTGTGCTTGTTGACTGAAGGCTCGAATACTCTTGCAAACAGGTTGAATCCAAAGTCGAGGTCCTCGAAACATCTCCGGGTGAGTTACATCTTTTGACCTGCTGACCTGACATCATAAATGTTCCTTCAAATCCGGATAAATTCGTATCTTCTCCTAAAAGAATCGATTTTTCATAGACGGCCCTCTAGCGCCTTTCTTAGCACAAAAGCCTAATGCAACGAACCAAAAGATTCAGCTTAGTCTTGAAACAGTACATCAATTTGAGTGCTACATCCTTTATATAATAATGTATGATGTTCCGCGCTAAGTCTCACGGAACATTTCGTCATTTTTTATGAAGTTAAGGCATCTTCTCTTTCAGTATTCTTGTCATTAGTAATTTCTATGCATAAAATTTTATATGTTGCTATTTACATAAGCTTAATATGCTTTCCTCAACTGATTTCAGGACGAAATATGGTGAAGCATAATCTACCGTACTTTCCAAATTGTACGCAGGTGGCAAATTATACGTTTGCAGTCAGTTAAATATTATAACACAGAAGTAGAGTATCATCTCAATAAATGCAATATATCATTTTCTACGCAGACTGCATATCACATGACTTCTTCGAGTAAGGGTTATGAAGGCATCCCCTAACCCTTAATTAACTTTCGGTCAAATTAGTTTAACTTCCTTCTAAGACTTGCCTTAACAGTAGAAGGGCAATCGATTACAACTGCCCATTAACGGACCGTTTTGACACTCATCGTGACTGCCCTTCACGGTTATCATACAGCATATCTCATCAGCGTATGCTTACGTTGTTTTCTGGCCGCCGCAAGCTAGCAAAATTCTCATACGATTTTTTGCTTATTTTAAGCTGTGGAAAATGTGTTCATCAGACAGAACAAATGGTAATTTTGGGGAACTACGCTCCACAACATAGTCCGACATTTCGAATCAAATTGTAAAACGTTAATCCACTTGTTACCCTTTAATACTGACTTTGGGTAAAATATCTGTTCACGCGAGTTGACAGTTACCATATATACAAATGTGGCATATAGGGCAATCACTGAAATCGCCTGAGGATCGTTTGTGGTTTCACTACGACCATACAGAACATATGTCCAGATATAAAACAAAAAATTGAATTATTTCATTTTTGAAGTATTGGTAGTATTTATTGAAGTGTTTGCCAAAAATGTTTCAAGCGGAAGGCGGCACTGGTTTGAACTTAAATTTCATAAATAACTTATTGAAATAAATACGCAATCTGATAAAATATTTTTAAATTTCCTGTAAAATTTTTCAAACTAGCAGATTTTGCACAAAAGAAGTTTCAATAAGACAGAAGTACCGGTTTTTTATTAAAGTTTACAAATATTAGTACGCGAAACACTTTCTCCTCATTCGATTATTAATATAGTTTAATCTGGATTCAGCCAGTACGCAACCACCGTTGAATCCGGAGCAAGATCTGCAATGATTCTGCATCTCACGATGGTGAATACACGCAAGAAGAGTCTAGCTTGACGCACTAATCCCCTTCTATTTTGGAAAAACGAGCTTTACTGGAACATTTTCTGAACTTTAAAACAAAATAATTTTGACATCCTGACAAAGCTGCATCCGATTATCGACTCAAGTTCTGAATCTGGTTCAAATAACGCCCTCATCCAAGCCGAAGACAAATACACTAAGGTTAGAATTTCCTACAACTGAACCATTCCCATGAGATGCCGAAGCACTGTGGATCTTGCATCGCACTAGACAACAACCGAAAACTCATCAATACATCTTTAATTTACTTTAACTAAAAACCAACATCGATTACGTATTAATTTAAATAAATTATGAAAGAAATTTAAATCGACATCAGCGCCACATTCCGCTTGAAACTTTTATGGGAGACAGGCATCTAATTAGATGAAAATTACACATCTCATTCGCCGCTTGTCCGCAGTTTTTTCTCTAGTAGTTCATATAGGAAACTTTTTTTCCTAGCATGCTTCCTTTAACAGAAGTCCGCTAATCTAGTCAACAACCTCCACATATTTTGGTCTTTGGTTAAATCCTCTTTAACTCATCGCTTCGTTCTTGACGACATCGCAACCTTATCCTTGGTTTGCCACTTCTTTATTTCCCTGGAAATTACAGTACTCGGTGGCGGACTGAACCAATGGAACCTACTTTCAATCAGCTTTTCTGAAATTGGTGTTAATTGCAATGTGATTAATTTTGCTGAGACTACTAATCCATTTAAGCGTTATCATTTCTACCGAGTTCAGTTGTTGCTTGTTTCTCTTCAGGGTAGAAAAACATTCCGCTTCGTACATAAGCACCAATGTTACAATCGTTCCGTACACCGTCCACGTCAGTTTGATGGGCATTTTGTCACACAGTACTCCACTCACTCTTCTCCACTTGACCAAGCTTTTTTCGATCGATTTCTTCCCTCGCTGTCGATTTCCACATTATCTTGCAGGATGGAACCAAGGGAGTTGAATTCTTGGATTTGAGGCAGCATGTTTTCCGTTACTTTCACAGATTTCAACCTGTTTTCTCCACTGAAATAGCCCGCCATATATTCTGACTTGCCTTTGCCGTTTTTCTCAAGCGCTGTTTTCCACGCCTCGGATTTTGCTCTTAGAACGTGTTTTAGCTACATAGCACAGCGTCATCTGAATAGAACATGTAGGATGAGGCTGCTTCTCACAAATCTTCAGTAATCAGATCTGTCGCCATCAAAACAGAAATGGTCTGAGTGCAGATCTGCACAGATTCGAATTCTTCCCATTAGCTTCATATACTTCGGACTATTGTTGTTACGCTGTCGTACACGTCCTTGGTAAGCTTGACATATTTTCTGACATCAGCTTCTTTCTCATGTTACACTAGATCACTTGCCTCGGGATTCGGTCGAAAGCTTTCTCCAGGTCTAAGAACACTATGTGAAAGTCCTGTCTGCCTTGGCTGTATGTTTCGAGGGATCATCTTTAACGTACGAAACTAAGAGATACAATACTTATATCAAGAGTGTCAGATCGCGCAAGGAACGTTACTACATGAATGTATGACTATGATAACGAAGTTAGGATCGCCAGATCAAAAGTTTTAAGGAATGTTCAGAGAAGTCATGATTTACAAAAGATTATAGTTTCAGAAAACTTGAACAACCGAAGACAACCTGATATCTACGCACGCTGAGAACTTTCAAAGTATTAACAGAGTAGCTCAGCCCAATAAATCAACTTTCTGCATTACCTGAATTGCGGAATGAGATTGTTTGCGTTAATAAAGACACGACATTTATGAAGATAGATTAAATACCTGATTTACATGTAATCTGAAGGGAGTAAATCCAATCAACCAGTTTTGTTTTGACCTCATCTGACAAACTGTCGATTTCGTCTAGAATATCCAGTCCAGAGAGAACAAAGAAAAGCAACGTAAGTCTGCAACGATTAGGAGATAAACAATAGCGCACAAACACTACGTAAACACCTGCTGGCTTCGAGTTCCTCAAAAGCTTCTGGCAAAACGTATAAAATACGCTTGAGGAATTTCTTGTGCGCCACTATGTCCATCGTTTGTTAACGAACAACAGGCATGCAGAGCTGTGGCTCTATAATATTTTAAATATTAAGTAATTAATATAATACTAATAGTATCAAACTTACCAAATCGATAAAGTCTAAAATTCAAAAAAAGTGACCTCATAACATCTAAAATAGACACATTATTGCTAGATACGATGTGTCGCGATATTTTAATGCAAAATACAATAAGCGCGAATCACAGAAGCAAACAATGAACACAAAAGCACTGCAATGTGAAACTTAAAGCGAAATTTACATTTTGATTTTTATGCGGTAGCACCTACAGAACGAAAAATATAAAAGTCTGCAACCGTCGGAATGTCGGTCTTCCTTACGCTTTAGTTTCCGGATTATTTTCGGGTTTTTTTCAGGAAATGCTGGACCGTTTCAACTCCATATCAGCCGAAAAGCAGAGTTGACAACAGTTATGTAAGAAGCGTAGTATGAAGTTTCTTTTTCCTTTTCACAGAGTGGTAATCAATTACTGACCTCAGATGGAACAAAGACGTGACCAGATCGGGGCTCGGACCACGGAGTTTTTGATTTTGAGTCAGACGATCAATCGACTGCGCAACTCGGTCTTGTTCACCAACCAATAAAAAACTACTATATCGCTTTACAGACAGATCAGCGAGGTTCTCATCAAACATTTACCGAAAACCCAAGCTAACTAAAAGGCAAACTTGCATACATCTAAAGAAGAAAGTTTTGAAAGGGAAATAAAATAATATGGATCGTGACAACGTTCTATCGCTGAACATACGTTTGTTCAACCCGTTTGAGACGGGTTCTGGATCCTATCCACTGCAAGCGCTTAAATACCATGGAGCCGTGGCCAGCTTAAATAGTCCCCTTAGGCATCTAGAAGCAAGGGGGCGATGCAGTACAGCTGCTGGTGCAAAGTGAGAAATAGATTTTTCTTTCGTTACACTGCAAGTTTTCGCCGTTTCAGTCTGGCATCATCATGTTTAATATGAAAAACAAGATTCATTCGCTCAATCTAACTTAAAATCCCAGCAGAGGCTTGAGCATATCCAACTCCGAAATTGTACGTATATGTCTGAAAGCTGCAAAGTCATTGGAAATGTATGTATGACAAAAAGACAAATTGTAAGTGGGGCTTGCAACGATATGGGCCTGTTTCCAAAAAATTTCTCCAGCACATTAAACCAGTGGTTCCAAAACGGAAGCTCACAACACAAGTGATGGTAGCGAGAGGCAAATGGGAAAAATAAATTTCATGGAAAACTGTACCAGATATTATCTCATCAAAATTTGACATGCATAAATGACCCCTAGGCGGTTAGAAGCAAGCGGGCGGTGCAGTGCTACTGGTGTAAAGAGAGAAATGTTTTTCGTTCTTTATACTGTGAATTTTTAACATTTCAGTCCAGCACCATCATTATTTTTAAACATATCTGAAATTTTAGAAAAAAATATCTCAAAACGTAACTCTGCTGCAAAAACACGTTTCAAAATCAACAACTCGGAAATAATACACATCATACCTTCAACAGAATTAAACAAAACGTTCATCCGCAAAATATTGGCAGCTGTCTTTAAGATCACTTGAAAGAAAAACTACTACAACTGGCCATAAACTACTAGTTACTAACAAACCTTAACCTCAAACTTCCAAAAAACAAGTATTATACACAATGTCCCCTACTCATCACCATCATATGAAGATTAGGGTACTATACAGTAAACTTTATCTGCAAGTTCTTGCTACAATTGGCATAGGTAAATGGTAATAAGCATTTTTTGTGATTTTTTGTGACCTGTTTCTAAGCACCAGTTTCGCCCCTTAACTTTGTAACTGCTCTGATTGACCTTAAAGTACATATGTTTAACCTTTACAGCCAATCGCAATAATAGCAATTTCTTTTCCGTGACAGATTGAATGGTGTTACGCGAGAGCAACGATATCTTTATCGCAAAGTCAAGGAAACGTTAATGATCCGCACAATCAACTGCATCAGTCGTGAAATTGAAATTAGAGTCGACGGAATATGGACCGGAAATATTGAGCAGTCGCTTACCTCCAGTGACAAACGCGGCACCATTAATAATACGAGTCAAGCTATACGCATCGAAACACAACGAGCAGTACTCACTGCACCCCTGAATACGGCCCGAGCCTGGACTGAAACGTCAGATAGCGAAACGCATTTGTTAATTAATGAATATTTTATGCAATGTTCTCCAGTCCCGCCAAGGCTGCATCCTGTCCCCTATCCTGTTTGTGTTGTATATGGATAGAACGGTCAGGAGCTGCCAAGGCGACGAGGGTATCGGTATTGGAGATGTTAAGTTGAGAAGGTTGCTGTTTGCAGACGACCTTGTTTTATTAGCATCTTCTGAAACTGATC